GTTTGTTCGAACGACAGCAGCTAGACCATTTTTGATCTCCATTTTCGGTGGCTGATCCAACACGGTGTACAGTTAACCCGACTAAGTGTGAACTCGATAAGTCAAAGCGTTGTGTCCATAGAGGCAGAGAACCGGAATCGTGGCCGAACGATTGTATGGACACGTCAGAATTACGGAACATCATTTTCAGCTGAATATAACAGGCTCATGAACGTACGATCGAATCAGTCATTCAGTAGCAATGACACGCCTAATCCAAGGAACCTTAACGGTTGGCAGGGCATGACAACAATTCAGTAGCATGGATCCAGCAATATGGCCAAGTGAACCGCATGGAGACTGGGCAGGACATGGTCCTCTACTCTGTTTGAAGGAGCATAGGTAACTAGTGTAAATGTACCAGCAAGTGTAGACGACAGAAAGCATAAGGTAGCGTTATCCAATAATGCATAACGGTCACAAGAGGACACACTGGTTTGGATGGTCTCAGGTTTCCATCTTTTGTGTCGTACACCCTGCCGAGAAAAGGTTCACCTAGTTAGGCTTATGTTGTAGAAGAGATGTATACAGTCGCCTTACATTCACTGTTATTCCAACTGTCATCTTGTAGGTCCCAGGCGTAAGAAGTGCTTCTCTACGGGTCGGTGGTCCGATTGTCCTTCCTCTCTTCTAAGAAAATGGTAGCTCCACACGAATGAATGTTCCTTTGGGGTAGATTTTCCTAACTCATTGGTAGTTAGTTTGGTATTCAGCTCGCGTTCCGTTCGTTGCTTAGTCGGCGCTTCCTACAGATGTAATGGCTGCGTTCAACCGCGTTCCAGTGGTTCGCCCCAGCATGAATTTGGACGGAGTTTTCATCGCTGCATTGTGGGGTGTGGTTCTACTTACCTCCAAGGAAGACACCAACGCATCGTCCCAAGTTACACCCGAAAGCTGAAGAACTTGTAAAGACAGTTTCATAGCATGGTTGAGGCTTTCAAGTAGACCATTAACGGCATGACTGTACGGCACCGTTTTTGAGTGTTAGATACCATTGTGCCTCAGGAACTCGGCGTACTCAATGATTCAAAACTGAGACTCGTTATCATTGACTACTTTTTCTGGCAGCCCAACCTTGCGAAGAATTAATGGAGCCACTTGATAAATACAGCTGAAATGACATCCCTAGAAAATATAGTCTCCAGCCATTTGCTTCAGAAGCAGGTAACAACTGACACATCTCGTTTCGGCGGAGGTGCATTGGCGAATGGCCGCATGATGGAACAATGGTTTTATACGAGTAAAAAAGCAGAAGCTTAACAGGTCCCGAAGGATGATCATGGCGAAACTTTAAAATATAGGAAACATTGTCAGCAAATTTAGGTTTACACCAGCGGACTCACCGCGGTATTCGTACGATGAAATGTAAATTCACTATTTGTTGTGTTCGTTGACGTCCTTGTGTATCCGTCTACACCGATTTCCTTAGGGCTGGGGAGGACAATGTTTATCTGCATCCTATTCTCACTAAGTAAACAGAAATCAAATCAGTTAATACAAGTGTAAAAATACATCATCGAGTCGATTTTTAAAAATATGTAGCGTGGATGCAGAAATGACAGGACTCGAAAGGAGGCTCCAGGGGTGACACATTTGAAAAGAAACATGGTTCCGGTGGCATTCCAGCCGAGTGTATTGTGTAGCCAGCTTCAGCTGGTGACCCTACAATTTTGTGTTGTGACTAAGTTTCACGAGATGGCGGAAAGCCTGACCATGGTTTTTCCATATCTGATACACTAGAATAAGGTTGCCCCGCAGACGGGGATAACTTCGGCTGTACACTCCTAAAGTTTTCATTCGCAGACGGTATGACAGGTGAATCATTCCTTTCACCTTTTTGGTGGCCCTTCGCTGTGCTGCATCCAGTGCAACCAGATCGCGTTTTAACTAGTGTTGCCAGGCCTGAATCGCGTACTCCACATGGGGCCTCACATACGCATGGAGCATTTGGGAAAGAAGCAGAGGTCGGACGGCCCGAACGCCCTCCGCAAGAGACTAACGTATTGGTTAGCGGTTTTGGACTCCTTCATAGGCTGAGCCGAACAGCCGGGGTCGTCTTGCATCACCACCCTAACCTCCTGCTCCTGTGATGCGGTTTGCAGCAGGTTGTCCCAAGGTTATATGCGTTAGTGGGCTTGTGTCGTACCTGTACAGTCTTGCACTTGTCCGCCTTAACCGGAAGTAGATCTGCCTTTGACCATTCAAAGGCACGGTTTAAGTATCTTTGTAGCAAGTCGTGACCTTACTGGCAACCGATAGTGCGCCATATCTTGATGTCATCGGCAAAAGGCAGGAAATTCAACTCCATGACCCGCGAGAGGTCGTTGATGAACACCAGGAATAGGCGGGTCCTAACACCGATCCTTGTGGGACACCGCAGTTCCCGCGGATAAGATCAGAAAATGAACCTCTAACCCGATACTAAAGCCGCCGCTGAAACAGCAACTTTCCTATCCTTCCAAGGACCGGTTCCCCAATTCCTTATATATGCAGCTTTTGTAGAAGGATTCGGCGATCTAAGCGGTCGAAGGCTTTAGAAAAGGCGATAGATGATAGCACCAGTGCCGGTCCTAATGTTGGTTATTTAGGTCCAGCTGTCACACGCAATCAGAAGATTGTTAGTAACTGACCAACCCTGACCGAATCCGTATTGTTCCTTTGCTAGGATGTTATACCATAGAAAGTAACCCAGCTTTTGTTCTGTTGTCCCAGCTGAACGGTTTCGTTGCAAACGTTTCATCACCAATCGTGGTGAGTTCTTCAGTGCGGAATAAGCAAACTGAGTTGTTTTGTCGATTTTTATCGGCGAGTAAGTGACATTTGAACTTGGCCACTTCGATTCACGTCCCGTGACCATTGCTAGTTCGGAGTTCAGGCGCCGCCTCTTCGACTCATGTGCCAAATGATTCACGTAAACATTTTTTTGCGGCTGCCGGTATACCGGATCTAAGTCGATGTGCTGATTTACTGAACTGTCAACAGAAAACCACTCTTAAAGGAATTCTCCCCCTTTGTTGGTCTCTCCCTGCGCTAGTACCTCCGTTTTTCCCTATCAAACATGTGATCTTCACTAACATGTGTCGAGACAAAGGATGATGGGTAATGGTTTCGACAGGCTCGTTTGTGCTCTTTTAACCTTGTGGACAATTTTCTTCCCGTTTGGCCACAAAGTTCTTATCACAATTTTTACACTGTATCCTGTAAATAACGTTCCGGCGTTCGTGTGCTCTCTTTTTCCCTTTCGGTCTAGACAGGATTCCTTTCAGAGTGTTGGTAGGTATGTGAGCCATTAACAGATGGTGAGGCTTGAGGAGTCTAGCAGTCAGTTCCGATACGTTCTTGATGTGTGGCAAAAGCAATCCTTTTCGTTGTTGTTGGTTCAGGTGTAGTATTCGAACTCTTGTAGTTTTTGTATCTTCGGACGAAACTGCCTGCATATCTGTTGCGAGGCGTGGTTTTCTACAGACAGTTCAGTAAATCAGCACATCGACTTAGATCCGGTATACCGGCAGCCGCAAAAAAATGTTTACGTGAATCATTTGGCACATGAGTCGAAGAGGCGGCGCCTGAACTCCGAACTAGCAATGGTCACGGGACGTGAATCGAAGTGGCCAAGTTCAAATGTCACTTACTCGCCGATAAAAATCGACAAAACAACTCAGTTTGCTTATTCCGCACTGAAGAACTCACCACGATTGGTGATGAAACGTTCGCAACAAAACTGTTCAGCACGGAGAACAGAACAAAATTTGAGCAGCTCACTCGAGCTGCAGGTATTCCGATTTATTGCTAACAAAGTAACCCGTTAGCACCTCAAATATGCTCGACTCTATCACCTTTGAGAGTACCGGGAGGAGAATCGAGGGGCGATAGCTGACGGGCTCCGAAACGGTAACACCTCTGAAAATTGGTGAC